CGCCAGTCTTTTTTTTTTGTTAGCTTTCGTGCCTTTTTTATTTTATTTTTTTTCCCTCTAGACCCGGTTTGGCTTCTGAGGTGCCAACAACATCGCACTCCACACCACTCTTTCAAATGATTATTCCCCCGCCGTTTTTACTTGGCTCAACTGCGGGCTGCGTGGGACTCCCGCTTTCCCCCCCTGCGACTATTTCAGGGCGACCTCGCCCTGTGCGAGCATCTGCACCGTTTCAAGGAAGAGAGCATTATCGGCCACTCTGTCCAGTGCCGCTTCCTCAACGTCGCATCCGCCGAGCACCGCCTGGCGCATCCTGGCCTCCAAGAAGGAATCCACCTCCTCCAACTGCCGCGAGACGCCAGCGGCGACCTCGTCATCCGAATTAAAGAGCGCACCGTCACTATCCTCAGCAGCGTCACTGCTCTCGGAGACGGTGTCGCTTTCGCGGTTGCCCAGCATGGCCTCCTCGAGGCGGGCGAACCCCTTCTCCGTCACGTTGTAGGCCATCGCCGCTTCCTGGGCATATGAGCGCATCCACTCGACGGAGTCACCGCGCAAACTGGCCACAGGCATAACTTTTCGCCGTATATAATCAAGGCGACGCTGGAACGACACACTACTGTCCTCACCGCCACTCCTAGTAGCCCTCAGCTCATTGCTACACTGCAGATCCTTCAGGAATTGCTCAATGATGACAGCGTGCTGTCCGTTAACCTCACAACGAAGCCGGTGAAGCGCAACCGTAAGCTGCAGCCCAAGCAAAAGTTCTCTTTCATCGGCCTCCACCTCCTCGCTACTCCCTCCCGCGTGCGAGAATGAGCTTGACAAAGTCTGCGTTTGTGACAATGGCTTTTCCACGAGAATACGGGGAAGGCTTGCACAAAACAAATGAGCAAAGGAGTAACGCGACATGCTAAGAGGCATCCGCACGTAGTGCTTGTTTCGCACCAATACGCGGTACTCTTGTATGACGTCGTAAAGAATTTCTTCCGATCGAGTGGGCGATGACTGCGCCTCAACTGCAAGACATGAGAATGGCTGTTGAATGGTGTGATGAAGCAGTGCCGCTCGTACGAGCTGCGGGTGTGCATCCACAAGTTCTGCCACAGAAGCAGGAACCGCCGCAATCGCAAGGTGACACGATTCCTCTCGCATGACCCGCTCCACTTCACTGGCCCAGAGATGCAAGGCTTCTGTTGCCGCCTCCTCACGACACCGCCGTCGCCCTCCTGCATCGAGTGCAAGAAACTGTAACTGCGGCTCTAGCTCCTGACCCTGTGTAAGGAGGGTGGGCTGCAGTGAAAGCGGAAGAACGTAGACGTCGCCCGCCGCCAGCATGACCCGCCGTACCATTGTCTGATGGTAATTGTGTTCCTCCACTCCCCAGCGTTCCAGGTAGGCACGGCGAACCTCCTCCGACTGCTCCCACACATCCGCAAGTTCAATGAGCAGCACATTGTCTTCCTCCGCTTCATGTGAAGCTGCGTCATCCTTTTCTGTGGCGAGGGCAATCAGGTTCTCCACTGCGGCTGTGAGGTCCATCAGAAGCATTACTGCCACCCGAACATCCTCAGGATTACCTCCGCAGGACAAGTCGGCCTTAAGCGCGTAGTAGCAACATCCACTCGCGTTGAAAACAGAAAGCGGTACTGGGGAGAGGCCGGTGAAAAGGCTGTCTTCGGTCCAGTGATAGGAGCGAGTGGCATGATAGCCGCGGGGAGAACTACGCCGCAGCTTTGTCAACAGGTCGTGCCGGGTAAGTGGGGAACGGGTAGACTTCCCGAGAAGCGTTACATGCAACACCATCTTTTTTTCCCCCCTTGGGCAAATGAACACACCCGCACACAAAAGTGTTATGGACCCCCTTTGCCTCTACCCTCTTCCTCCACTTCACCTGTCTTGTGAGAACAGCACGGAAACAAGAGAAGAAAAACAAAAACAAAAACAACTAACAACGAAATCTCCTCAACTTCTTGTGTTTTGTTTTGTTTTTCTACCCTGTTTTCCCCCAATCACTTCACCACTTCGCCGCAAAAGGAGGGAGACAAAAAACAAGCAAACAAGCAA